ATGATTCCGACACAAAAGGAAAGAGAAAACTGTAAATTTTCTCTTGCTATACTTATTAGTGTTTGGCATGATTACACTTCTAGGTTTGCCGTAACTGGCACAGTGGAGGGTCTGAAATATCCCAGAAAATATTGTCAATGCTTGGGATCTGTCTGTGCACATACAGGAAGTTCATATATGGAAATTCTGTCTGTGCATGCACAGGAAGCTCATATCCAGAAGTCCTGGATCTCAACGGTGGAATATAAACCTGAAGACTGTTGATTCTGCTGGAAGCTGCTGTCTGAGGGTCCCTTCCACTTACCCTCATTTCCAGTGGGGTTATAAACAGCTGTGCTGTTTGGGGAGGCACACAGCGTCCCTTCTGCTGAAGCAAGTATACACCTGAGGCCAGCACTAGAGGAGAATCAGAGAATCAGTTTCTTCAAGAAGTTAAACAAAAAATTACTATATGACCCCAAATTCTGCTCTGATGTATAAAATATCCCCAAAATTGAAAAACATATACAATAAATACTCATGTGTAAATAAGATAAACATATGAAATAAATAAAAACTCATGTGTGGCTGCTCACAGCAGCCTTCATCATCATGAGTAGAAATGACTGTGTGCCCATCAAAAGATGAGTAGATTCACTGCCTGAGTTTTAGGTATATAAGAAAGTGGATATTGTTTCTGCACTATGATGTAGGTGAACCTCCTAGATATGGTAAGTTTAAAAAGCCAGGCGAGAAAGGCCGTATACTATAGGAGTGCATTTACATGAAGTGTCCATGACAAGCATACCCATAAGCCGAGCAGATCGGTCCCCAGGGGCTAGGGTAGGGAGGGGTGGGTGAATGTTAGTGAAGCTGGTACACCTGTGAGTGTACTAACTGCTGCTTAATTGTAAGCTTTAAGATGGTAATGAGCACACCGGGTAGTGGTGGCACATGCCTTTAATCCCAGCACTCGGGAGGCAGAGCCAGGCGGATCTCTGTGAGTTCGAGGCCAGCCTGGGCTACCAAGTGAGTTCCAGGAAAAGGCGCAAAGCTACACAGGGAAACCCTGTCTCGAAAAACCAAAAAAGAAAAAAAAAAAAAAAGATAGTAATGAGCTTTATCACAATAAAGAACAGGAGGCCTTTGTAACAGTTCTTTTAATTGTGGTAAGATACTGTGACATGAAATGTACTGCTTTATCCATGGCACAGTTCTGTGGCACTAACTACAGTTGTGCTGCTGTACAGCCACCCCCATCCAGCCACCCCCTAGCCACCCCCTAACCAGCCCCCCATCCAGCCACCCCCATCCAGCCCCCCATCCAGCCACCCCCATCCAGCCACAGAACCCTTCACCGTATAAAACTGAAACTGTGCCCGTGAAATACCGACTCTCCATTCCCACCAACCCCAGCCTGTTTAGCTTCCAAAATACCTCATGGGAGTGGAATTTTACAGCTCAAAATTACATGTGTCAGAATTTCCTTCCTTTTTAAGACTAAGGAACATTGCATTGTGTAGCCAGTCCACGTTTTGTTGATGGTTCCTTGCTCATGGGCCTCCCCATTGCTTTCACTTTCTAGCTGTTGTGAACAACGGGAGCCTTGTAGTTGTCTATTCTACATCCTTGGGCCAGACGGCTTCTTCCCCATGGATCTCTAAGATATGCCTTTACCCCAGGATCTGTTCTCAGCATGGCAACCAACATCTTGTTCTCCCCATCAAGCCTCCACCAGCTCTAATAACGTTCGCAGAAAAACAAAGTCTTTACCAGGGATCAAGACCTGGGGCTGGCCCTTCCCTCCCCTCTCTCTTGTCTTCTTTCTGTGCTGGTTAGACTTGATGTTCCCCAGGTCCACAACAGCCGCAGAGCCTTCAAACCTCCAGATCCTGATCTGTCTGGTGGGAATGAGCTTCCCTCACGGAGCCACCACTCTGGAGGCATCCTCGGTGAGGTCTCTCCTATCAAACCTCCAGATCCTGTTCTGTCTGGTGGGAAAGATCTTCCCTCACAGAGCCACCACTCCGGAGGCATCCTCGGTGAGGTCTCTCCTATCAAACCCCCAGATCCTGATCTGTCTGATGGGAATGAGCTTCCCTCACGGAGCCGCCACTCCGGAGGCATCCTCGGTGAGGTCTCTCCTAGCTGCTCCATTTGCAGTACAGTCTGCCCAAGAGCCACGTACACACGCACACTCCTCCCGACCCTCCAGCATTGCCTTCTGCTCAGCATTTACACCAGGGTAGGAGCTCATGTGCTTGCAGTAAGGGGCGCTTCTGGAGGGCAGGGGCTTCTTCCCCTGTTTGGTTCTCCGCAGCTTCCCTGTGCCCAGCCCAGCACAGAATCCCCAGCAGTGGTCAGTGAACACTGCCTTGCCGAGCACATAGCCGGAACCGTCTGGACAGCACTTACCTTTCAGAGAAGAGCAGGCACTTCTGGGCATGCAGCTTCCCTTTCACATGTAGCTCCCAGTCCTGGATGAGAAGACCAGAGAATGGGGAGGCAGAGGATAAGGGTTGTTACTACCAGCCGGGCAGGGAGCTCCGAGCACCCAGAGGCTGGGCCGATAGGACACCTCGGTCTCCATTTCTCCCCTTCCCCTCCCCATCCTAGGTGCTGTTGTACAACTGCCCGTCCGTCTCTCTTGTTGACCCCTTACTTGCATACCCTGTATCCATCCTGGATGGCTACCCAGACTTGAAGTGGACTCCTGACCCATCTCTGACCTCATACCCTTCCTCTCCACAGAGAAACGCCATCCACTTCTCTCTGGTCTAGGTACAGTGAGTCCTAAAGCCTCAGGAAGGGTCATGTGAGACAAAGACCCCAGCACCCGCTGGCATCCCTGCTACCACTGAGTACACAGCAGAGACGGGAAGGTGTGGGTGTCTCCCTCAAGTCACACAGACACATCTGGGTGACGTGACCTGAGCAGCAGTGAAGGACACCCTGTGCTGTGACTCCCATTAAGGAGGAACTGTATTATGTTCTGGGACAGGATGGCAGAGGGCTGGTGTGACAGCAGGCTCAGGGAGATGACACCCATAATGGAATCTCTGCTCTGTCATTCTCTAGCTAGGTGGTCGGGGCTAAATTTTCTCATCTCTGAAAAGAAGGCAATGACAGTATCCACCTTATTGGGGCCTGGAGGCCCGTGCCTACAATCCCAGCATTCAGGAAGGCAAGGGCTAGCCTTGGCTATGTAATGGGTCCAAGATCAGGCAGAGCTGAATGAGACCCAGTCTCAAAACACAGTAAGGCAACAACAAAAACCAGACCCCAGTGTCTACCTCACGCAGTTACGATCAGCACATGAAAAGAGTTTAATGTGTGTTAACTGTTACATACATTTTATTGTTTTGAAATACTTCATTGCATTATCAGAACACCTTGGAGTAAACATCCTGCTGTGTGGGTTCTTGTTCACAGTAGTGCAAAGCACTTTACCACAGGGGTGGGGCAGGGAAGGCTCGGGAATCTCTCCTTCCACACGATATATTTGGGAGTCTTCTTTAATGATCCATCTAGTTCCAGCCTGAGAAATGATCTTTTGTCCTTGACCCAGAATTCTACTTTTCCCTCTTTCAAACTCAGTACAACATATATACTGAAGGAACTATAGCTTCTAGAATACACAAAGAAGAAAAGCCTTCAAAGGGAAGCAGGAGACCTCTGCTTCTTCATCTAGATAAGAAAGAAATCTCCTACCTGACTCAAAGCAGGGAAAGAACCCTGATTTAATTCTGAAATTCCTTTGGAGTCTACAACCTATGACTTTAATAAAGGGCACTGATGGCAAAGTCAGGTGCCCCGGAGTCAAACCTTGGGGCCCAGCCTTCCGTGGGTAACTCACCTTTAGGTCAAACACCTTCTTGTCACAGATGCTGCAGATGTGGGGCAGGTGGAGCGGAGCCACACCATGGAAGTCATTCAGCTCGTGAGCCTGCAGAGGCCTCACGGACAGCATCGCCGGCTCCTCCTTCGCCCTCCGCCGGGAGCAGCTGAAGCCCTGTTTGCTGTTGTTAAGCCGAACTCCAAAGGCAGGAGGGGTCCTGTCTGAGGTAGGCTCCTCGGGATCATATAGCTCATAGGGCTGGCTGGCAGGTGGCGGCCACAAGCTGGGCCCTGCTGCAATATCAGGCTTGTTTGGGCCAGAGAATCCAGGGGGGCTCTCCCACTGACTGTTCGTACCTTGCAACAGCCCACCAGCCTCCCCTTTTAGGTCCCCAGCCTGTTCAGCTGGAAATCCACCTGCTACATGTGACCCTTGGGCATTGGGTCCATAGAAGTCTTTAGAAAAGGCAGCTTGGCCATCCTGCCCTGTGTGGCTGTAGTGCCCTTCATAGGCCACACTACCTGATGCTGTGGCCGAGGCCGAGGCTGGCAAGAAGCCAGGCTGGCCCTCTGTTTCAGAACCATAGGCCTGGCTAGGGTTGGTTTTGCCATACTCATAGAAGCCTGCGGTAACTGGTGTAGGTCCAGCCTTCCCAATGCCTAGGATGACTGCTGGGTGGGCAGTGGTCTGAGGCATCACCCCACTGAAGGGATGTACCACCACAGCATTGGGGGGCTGACTGGGGAGGCTCACAGAAGGTCCTGGGCCTCGTGCCTGGCTGGGCGATGAAAAGGCAATTGTATTGGAAGGAAATCGGGTACTGGGTATGGTGGCAGCATGCTGGGAAACCCCAGTAGAGCCATGTGGGGTGCCCAGTACAGATGGATGCCTCAGCTGGTTGAAGAGAGGCTGAGACATGGCCACTTTGGAGAGAACTTGATTCAAGACCGTGGCGGCTGCAGTGTTGCTGGTGACGGCCGTCTGTGCCAGCTTCAGCCGATGGAGGGTGAGCTGGGCCTGGAGCTGGGCCAGCTGGAGGCTGGCCGGCGAAGGGAGCAGGGGGTTCTGGTTACTGACTGAGAAGGGGCTCTTGTCCAGGAGCTTGGCGGCACTGCAGGGAGACAAGAGGTCCACATGCATTGCAGGTTCCAGTGAGTGACCCCTTTCCCCGCGTGAATAAGACCCCGTTTCATAGCTCACACACACGGAAATGCCCAAAACTCCAACAGGAAAGGCTATATGGCAGAACGTTCAGTCTCTCTGGTAATTGGAAACAACCATTACAAACAAATACTCGTCTAGCAAGACCTCCAAAACTAAAAACACAGATCCCACAATGGAGAGATAAGGCAGAAAGAAACATAATGCCAGCCAGGTGAGTTGGCTCAGAGCTGTAGGATAGCAGGGCTTAGCACGCCTCAAATTTGAGGCTAGCCTGATCTACACTGCAAGCTTTAGGCCAGTTGGGGCTACATAGTGAGATCCTGTCTCAAAAGAACAAAACACAGACAAAGACGTAATGTATCACATCTCTGGTAAAGGTGGTTTGTAATACACGGTCACTACTGTCATAGTCTTTGACTCAACAATTCAATTGTGAAAATAGATCCTAAGGCAAAACTTGAAAATTGAAAATGTTCCTATGACATTATTTAATGGTTGAAAATTATAAACATCCGGTAATAGGGGGACAGAGTTTGAGCTGAATAAATTATGATATATCTATATGTCATAAATACGATATATCTATATATAGAACATAAGTAACCACTTTCAATTACTTTTTAGATGTATAAATTATTATTGAAACATTGAAGACATTCAGAAAGTTGTGCCCAGGGCCGGAGAGGTGGTTCAGTGAGTAAAGGCATCTGCCACCATACCTGACCACCTGACTTTGATCCCCAGGTCCCACATGGTAGAGGGAGGACCTGATTCTCACAAGTTGTCCTCTGAGTTCCACGTGTACATCGTGACTTGCATATGCCTGATCCCATAATAATAATAATAAATAAATTTGCAGAGATTGTGCTCTGTTCCACATATAAAATAAAAACCACCCCATCATGCTAACTCCCGACTTGGTCCTGCTCTCTACTCCCATGATGAGTTCACCATTGCCACTGACAAGCGTCGTCTTGAATTTGGCAAAGGCGCCGGTTCCAAAAAAAAATCATCACTTACATTACATGAGAAAATCCATATGTTCCTTGGCTTGAAAACTATGCACAGAATGAACTGTGTATATATTTATGACACACATTTTCATCCTAGTCCTCATTTCAGATCCAAAAATAATAAGACAGCTTTTACACATAAGTAGTATATGCAACAACCAAAAAACTTAAAAATGAAAAAAACATCTAACTTTGAAGTAGTAAGTACTGGTCAGTTTTCACAGAATCTTAGTCGAGATGGGAGGAGTTTGCCCTGCCACAGGTCCTTCTTGTGGCCCGTGCCAGTGGGCCATTGTGTTTCTGGGCAAACCCAGAATGGATTTCTCTATAAATGGGGCAGACTTTCCCAGAGAATCCGGTGCATATGGTTTCCACAGTCGAGGCTTTTGGGTAAACCATATTTTCTGGGTCTTAAGTTACCCTGGTGGGAAGTGAGTGTAACCAGGAAATGTGTTCTAGCTCTGGTGAAATGGAATTCTGAGGCATCTGAATGTGGCTGTGAAATCTGAAGTCCGGCCTGGTGGACCTGCCAGGCTGCACAATCAATCTGTATAAAGGTGAAGCTGGGAGGGAATGCACAGCTGGAACTCTTCAGTCGCCACTGTCAGGAGCAGCTCATGCGCAGTTAGAGCTCATGATAATGAAGCAGGGCAGAGAGAGGCAGGGAGAGGGTGGCAGAGAGGCTGGGGTGGGGGGGGTGAGGAGAAAAAGGAAGACAAACAAGGATGTGGCACACCACCCCTGTGCTCCTCTGAGGGATCTCGGGTTCCTCTGGAGGAGGTGAGCGCGGGCAGGAAGGAGGGAGGAGAGACTGCTCCTGTGATCCCTGTGAGCTTGTTGCATCCTCAAGGGTCACACAGGGTGGTTTTTATTTCAATTTCATAATGCAAGAAGCTAGAGCTCTGAACACACACTGTCACTGAGGAAAGCCTGGGAGACCCCAACCCTGCAATCAAAGTGGGACCCTCTTTGCGTACATCTTCCTGGGCTGCTGGCTTTATTGTTTGAAGTGATCCCAGAACATGAGGCACACCCACACTTAAGTACAAGAACAAAACACACTGTTGAGCCAGATAAAAATGACTTTGCTCTTCTTTCTCTTTTGTGTGAGGAATCAAAAACTTTTTTCAAGTTCTTCAAGAGACCCCCAGTTAGCAGCCATGCTGGGCTCTGATCTGGGGAAAGAGGAGGGATGATGCCAATCCACTGTGGACCTTTTCCCTCTGGGGAGTTGTGCTGGTTGTGTCCAAGCTTTGTGGGCCCTTGTGTGGCACACTAATCACAGCAGTAACAGAGTGGGAGGGACTAACAGCTGTTCAGCCGTCAAGAATAACTGGAAGGTGGGAGGGGCCAGTCTGATGAATGATTGACTTGTGTACTATTGAGTCGCTGAGTGTTAGTAAGTTGATTCAGCTTCCCCAAAACCTGCCAACCCCGGGGGAGGGGGGGCTCTTCTCCCAGACAGGTCCACCGTGCAGAGCAGACTGTCCTTACAAACAAGGCACTAATGAGGTGCCAATGTGGTTTCCATGACCTGAGGAGCACAAAGTTGGCTTTGTTTTCCCCAGAGAAGTCAGCTGTGTTTTTCAAACTTGAATTCTGGGCTGGAGCAAGTTCTTGCTAGAAGTTTTCTTCTTGGGTGTTGAAAGGCTATGTGAGGAAGAACCATCTCCCAACAAGGAAAGTCATCCACGCAGCACACCTGTAAGTCAAATATGGGTATGGCTACAGAACCTCACCGTTCAGATCAGGCACACAACCAGACCAGAACCTACCTCACCATTCAGATCAGGCACACAACCAGACCAGATCCTCACCGTTCAGATCAGGCACACAACCAAACCAAGAATCAGATCTCTTCCCGGCTTCTGCTTTTGCAGTTCACACCTGTAAGCCCAGCACTTGAAAGGGAGAGAGAGGAGGGTCAGGTGAGTCAAGGCTAGTATTGAGTACTTAGGTTTGAGGATAGACTGGGTATGTGAGTCTTCTGTCTCAAAAGAAATAGGAAGAGGGGAGGAAGGAGGAAGGGAAGGAAGGGGGAGGGTAGACGACATTTAGACGCATACAGTGTTCTTGGAGCGTCCATTTCAAGGTTTTACTGCTCTGTTTGAAGAGAGTCCCCAGAACATGAGGCACACCCACACTTAAGTCCAAATACAAACACATTTCAGAGCCAGATGAAGATGTTTCTCTTTCTCATTTGTGTAAAGAATCAAGCTCTGAAAAAGAAAGGAGTGAGTCTTGGAGATTCTTGCATTTTCCCAGAAGACCTTGTCACACTTGGGTGGCCAGAAGACCTTGTCACACTTGGGTGGCCAGAAGACCTTGTCACACTTGGGTGGCCAGAAGACCTTGTCACACTTGGGTGGCTGTGGTAACTGCCAGGAACAAAATAAGGAAGAAGATAATGGCTGTGGCTTATCAGAACCTGGCAATTGGGAGATGTGAGAATACACTTTATGTGGATAAAGCGCCTTGAACAATTCAAAATAAACGCAACTACTAAATGGGATTTGCTGTTGAACAGCTGGGTAAGGTCACTCACCAACCCACCACAGCATAGGAGTTTCGGCACACTTCTCTCTGAGTCTAGATTTTGAATTGAATGGATGGAGGATGGAGGACAGTTCAGCAGTTGAGAGCACTGACTGCTCTCACAGAGGACTGAGGTTCAATTCCCAGAAGCCACAAGGCAGCTCACAACTATCAGTGACTCCAGTTCCAGGAGGTTCAAAACCTGCCTCTGGCCTCCATGGGCACTGCACACACATGCACAGACATACAAGCATGCAAAACACCCATACACATGAAGATAAAAAAAAGATTTACTTATTTTTAAGAGAAATTGGATAATTGAATCACGGTTCTGCAAAGAATTCACGTTCTAATCTGCGGGGACCATGTGTGTCACCTTCCATGGTAAAGAGTGTGGGCGCCATGGGCCCTGGCCCCCGACTGGGAGTGGCTGCGGCCTTGCTTGCTTGACCTTGATCAGA